TTTATGGTTTTAGCACTTGTGTTTAGGTCGTTAATCCATTTTGAGTTAATGTTTGTATATGGTATGAGGTAGGGATCCAAATTAATTAATTAATTCTTGTGGATGTGGCAATCCAGTTGTCCGAGCACCATTTGTTGAAGAGACTGTTCTTTCCCCGTTGAATGGTCTTGGGATCCTTGTAGAAAATCAATGGGCCGTCAATGTAAGGGTTTATTTCTGGACTCTCAGTTCTCTTCCATTGGTCAATATGTCTGTTTTTATCCCAGTACTACACTATTTTGGTTAATGTAGCTTTGTAGTAAATTTTGTAATCAGGAAGTATGAATCCTCCACTTTGTTCTTCTTTTTCAAGATTGTTTTGGTTGTTCAGGGTCCTCTCTTTTTAAAGAACTGTTTTATTCGGCAACATTTGGTGTACACAAGAGTATATGTGATAGGTATAAATAATGAAGCATAAAAATTTTAAATCAACACCACGAACCTACCACCCACCTGAAGAACTAGAGCATAACGCATAATAATACAGTGCTGCCTTTGTGTTCTTGTCCTAGCCCTTTCTTCTGCCTCGTTCCAAGAGGAAACGATTATGCTGAATTTTGTGTCTTATAAATTCTTTATTTAAAAGAAACTGTTTTGTTACGTACATATGTATTCCTAAATAATATATATTGTTTAGCTTTAGTTGGTTTTCTGTGACTTACTTTTTCTACTTCAATTTTTTTTTTAATATTTTATTTTTTCCTTTTTCTCCCCAAAGCGCTCCCACCCTGGTACATAGTTGTGTATTTTTAGTTGTGGGTCCTTCTAGTTGTGGCACATGGGATGCTGCCTCAGCATGGCCTGATGAGCAGTGCCATGTCCGTGCCCAGGATTCGAACTGGTGAAACCCTGGGCCGCTGAAGTAGAGCGTGCAAACTTAACCACTCAGCCATGGGGCCGGCCCCTACTCTCAATTATTATAATAATGACAGTAGGAAGCACACACCACACTCAGTAACTATTGTTCTTCTGAACTGTGTTGCTAAGATTCATTGTGGTTTGTGCATTTTCGCTGCTGTGTACAATTCCATTTTTTGCCTCCTGTTGGTGGATTTTGTTTCCAGTTTTTTGTTATTATGAACAACCCATTTATGTTTCCGGCCCCTGTCCCTTTCAGGACTTTGACATTTCTGATTTCCTGAGCTCTTATATCAGGTGTCACAGTGCCTGCAGGGATAGACAGGGGTCAAATGAGTAAGGAAGACTGGGTGTCAACAGTCAAGAGAGGTGGGGAAACTGGAGAAGGAATGCTGACCTAGCTAAGCTCAAGCTGATTGTTGCCATGTGGCAATGCAGGCCTGTATTTCCAAAGCTTCTGATTTTCTCAAAAGAAACTAGAAATCTGGATTTTTTTTGATGCAAAATGTCCCAAATAATGTCATCTAATTTAAATAATAAGACATACTGGGGCTGGCCTGGTGGCGCAGCTGTTAAGTTCGTGCATTCCACTTCAGCGGCCTGCTGTTTGCCAGTTCGGATCCTGGGTGTGGACCTACACACCGCTTGTCAAGCCATGCTGTGGCAGGCATCCCACATTTAAAGTAGAGGAAGACGGGCACGGATGTTAGCTTAGGGCCAGTCTTCCTCAGCAAGAAGAGGAGGATTGGCAGCAGATGTTAGCTCAGGGCTAATCTTCCTCAAAAAAAAAAGAAGAAGAAATACTGCATAGGCCAAACAGAACAGGTTTCCAGCTACAGTTCTTAGACTTCCAACATGCCACGTCTGCCTTATCCAGGGTCAAGTTCAGTGAACTCTGCTTTTGTATCATTTTCTCCCATGTAAGGTCCTTATAGGCACCTCCCTTCATTTTAATACCATGTCGCCTCTATTTGGAAGCTGACTTCACCCTTTAGCTCTACTCTTTATGAGATAGGAAACCAGGCTTTGAGTTTCTCTTGCTAAATTTCTTTAACCACCTATGATATCATTTACTTCTTATGTTTTTTATGTGTTTGCTTCTTCAGTGGGAGTGTAATTTAGACTGACTGAGGGATGTATATGGATTTTCTTTATTTCCAGATTAAGATTGTTATCTTTATTTCAAACAACAACAACCATCAACAGATACCCAGAACTCTTGGAATTCTGTTTTCTTCTGAAAGAAAAGGCAGTCATTTTCTCTGATTATAGATAGAAACAAACTGAAAACAATGAAGTAAATTAAGAATCTCAGATGAAAGAAGTACACACTAGAAATAGACATCTCTTTAAGCTCGAAGAAGATAGCTTTTAAAGAGGGAAGGGACCATCGTACTTTACAGTCAGCAGCAGATGTGAAGGTCTCTTTGTTGCTGGTAGTGGTTTTATAGACTGAACTTCTGCGGGTGAGGTTGGTGAGCTCTTCCAGGTATGAGTTCATGTCTTTTTCAGTATCCTCTCAGAGCCTGGAGTTAAGCCTGGTGATTTATCTAAGTTCACCTATATGCGAGGTGTTCCCCACTTACCTCTCTAGCCTGACTGTCTGTCCTGGGCCCCAGACCTTTATTTACAACTGCCTCTTGGTTATCCAACAGATACCTCTAACTAACTCAGCATTTCAAAATTGAGTTTGTCACCTAACCCCCAGAATCGCTCACTTCATTCTAGACTCTCTTTCCCTTAGCCCCCAATATCTAAACAATGACTAAGTTGTATAGATTCTCTTCCTTTTTTGCTTTTTAAACATTTTATAATGGAATTTTTTTTGAGTTCGTAATAGTTTACATCTGTCTTTTTTTCTGGCTGAGTAGTATTCTATAATGAAATATTTTTAAAAAATCATCTTTATTGAGGTATAATTTACATACAATAAAATATACCCATCTTAAATGTGCAGTTTGACAGGTTTTGACTGATGTGTACATCTGTGTAGCTACTGCCACAACCAAGATATAAAATATTTCCATCACCCTGGTTCCTTGTGGCCCTCTGCAGTCAACCCTCCTACCCTTGGCCCCAGGTAACCACTGATGTAAAGCATTTTCTAGAGTTTCATATAATTGGAATCATGTACTCCTTTTTGTCAGGCTTCTTTCACTCAGCATAATGTTTTTGAGATTTATCCATGTTGTTACATATAGTAGTGGATTAGTAATTCATTACTTTTTATAGATGAGCAGTATGATTATGGAACTTTTAAGACATATGCAAAAGTAGAGAGAACATATAATGAATCCCCACGTACTCGTTTATCAGCTTCTGCAGTTAGAAGTATCTGACTTGAAGTATTCTTGTTTCATCTCTGTACCCACCCTCCAAACTATACCTGTTTTGACCAGGAGGGGAGGGAAGCTGCAGTATTTTAAAGCAAATTGCAAGCATCGTATTATTTCACTCATAAGTACTTCAGTTGTATCACTAATATTTAAAGACTTTAAAAAAATGAGTAGAGTACCCCTATTGTAATGTATATTTTTTAAAAAACAGTAATTCCCTACTATCATGTAATCCTCAGTCCGTATTCAGTCTTTCCAGTATCTCAAGATGTCTTTTTGCAGTTGGTTTATTCAAATCAGGATCCAAACAAGGTCAAGGACGTATTTTGTGCATTTGGTTCATATGTCTCTTAAGCCTCTTTTAATCTATAACAGTTCTCTTTCCCTACTCCGTTTTTCTCCCCATGCCATTTATATGTTGGGGAAACAGGCTCACTGACTTCTAGAATTTTCATATTTCTGAATTGGCTGATTCTGTTTACGTGGGGTTGTTTACTGTGGTCCCTATTCCCCGCTCTTCCCTCTAAACTGGTAGTTAGATCTAGAGGTTTGATAGCTTTCCTCTCCTCCTATTTATTTCTCCTTTCCTCATGCACAGCCATTGCTTTAGGTAAGATCCATTATCTCTTTTTACCTTGATCCACTATAGTCATCTGAAGGGTCGCTTTCCCTCTAGTCTTATCTGCCTCCTCCATTCAGACTCCAGACAGCTTCCAGAGTGCTCTTTCTTTCTTTCTTTTTTTTTTTTTGAGGAAGATTAGCCCTGAGCTAACTACTGCCAATCCTCCTCTTTTTTGCTGAGGAAACCTGGCCCTGAGCTAACATCCGTGCCCATCTTCCTCTACTTTAGATGTGGGACGCCTACCACAGCATGGCTTGCCAAGCAGTGCCATGTCCACACCTGGGATCCGAACCGGCGAACCCTGGGCCACTGAGAATCGGAATGTGTGAACTTAACCACTGCACCACCGGGCTGGCCCCCAGAGTGCTCTTTCTAAAAGGAAGATTCAATTGTGTTAATTCTCTGCTTAAAATCTTTCATTGATTCCTATACCCTCTAAGGAAAGGAGTCTAAGTTTCCATGCTCATCATACGTAATTCCTCATCATCTGTCCCTTGCTTCCTTTTCCAGCTGCAACCCCAGCCATATGCATTTTTTTTTACCCCATTTATTCAAGAGACATTTAAAGAATGCCCACTCTTTACCAAGTAGGGGGCATTGATTCCCTCTAACTTCTGAGCTGTGTTATTCGCCCCCTCCAGGCAATCTCTGGGGAAGCCAGATGTCACCCCCTGCAGTGAAGTACTTAATCTGAGTCCAGAAATTGGGGGAGGAACCAGAACCTCAGTGGGTCCACCTCTGGGATAATGAAGTTGGAGACAGTAGTATTAGGAGATGAGACAAAAGTAGGAGCAGCTGGGATTCCTTGAGCAAACAGCCAAGGCTTGGGGGCAGGTGGAACTGAGTGAATCCGAGGACGTGCATAAACTGGGTCTACTACAGGTGTTCTCAATAAATGTTTGTTCATTCAATGAGTCCTATTCATGGAATATTAGGGACAAAGTTTTCGATGTACTGGGAACATCTTCAACTGCAGTCGATGTTATGAGGGCAGTTGTCTTCTCCTTACAAGTTCCCCCTTTGGACAGAACAGATGACTCAGCAGATCAGAGTGTAACTGTCAATCAGTGTCTTGTTATCCACTCTTTTTTATTGTTATGGTTTAGGTTATGTTGGTAACTTTTTAAATGTGCTTTGTTTTATAGACCATTGTGATGAATGACTGTATTATTCGAGGGGATCTGGCAAATGTAAGAGTTGGACGTCATTGTGTTGTGAAAAGTCGGAGTGTCATAAGGCCACCATTCAAGAAATTCAGCAAAGGGTATGTAATTTAATTACTTTGATTCAGTCTTGGGCAAGATGCTGCTACTGGTAGTGCTATCCATGTGTTGAGTTGTGGTGTAAGGAGCAGGTCTGTGATATTCTTGGGGACACTGAGTAAGAATTCACCATAATGAACACAACGCTGGTGGTGGTGTCTTAGTCTAGTTGGTGGTTGGGTGCCAGAAACAGAATCCATGTAAGCTGGCAAAAGCAAAGGGTGTTCTGATTAAACAGACATAGGCAGATTTAATGGAACTTAAGGGTAGCAAAAGGGGCCAGGCCTCACAAAGGATTAGAACCTGCCATTGGATAGCTAGCCAGAATCAAGATAACTGTTCTGTCTACTGCTGTGTCTCCAAGATTATCCTGTCTCTTACCTCTTCTTCTCTCTGCACTTCTGCTTCCCTCTGCTCTCTTCCAGATTGGTTGTATCTTCCCCCTTTGCTCCTGGAGCCAACCTTGCTGCCTCAGCCCCTTATTTACATTACTTCTCCATTTAGGCTTCCAGCAGATACCAACTAGAGATCTTACGTTTTATTTCCAAAATTTTGGGAGAGGGAATCTGATTGGCTCAGCTTGAATTAAGTGCCCACCACTAGTCTAAAAAGCTTTGATCCAGAGGGCAAGGTTAAGTCAGGCCCACTGATCTCTCAGTTGGAATAGGGATTGTCCAACAAAAAACATGGACAGGGCAGGTAAACTGACCACTGTGCCTGCTGTGGTGGGATTCTCTTGGCCTATCTCCCCCTCAGCTAATTTGCTCTCCTGGTTCCTACCTGTAGCACCATCTGCATTTCATCCAATGATTCCACAAGCATTTATTGAGTGTTTTCCTTAAGCTAGTCACTAGGTTATAAGTTGGACATATAAAGATGGACAAAATGGCATTCCTGCCTCAGGGTTCTCAAAACCTACTGGTAGAAACGGTTACATAAACAGATAGCTACTGAATAATGTGATAGCCACTATATAATGTGATACTCCTGTCACAGGGGTATGAACATGGTTAGGAGGGAACAGAGAAGAGAGTAAACTAACTCAGACTCTATAATACTTAGGAGTATATCATGCAGGAAGAATCCTGCATTTCCTGTAATGGTACTGGGCTCCAGGCTTTCTATTACATGCAAGAATTAGAGCAGGGAGTCATAATAAATCACTCGCATGGAAACATTCAATTATTGACTCAGAAGGCTACTGGAGGGAAACCAGAAAATCTTACGCTCTTGTGGTCTCATACAGTGACTGATACTCTGCCAGAGTTATTGACTCCACCTTCTTACCTTGATTTTTTTTTTTTTTAAAGATTGGCACCTGAGCTAACAAGTATTGCCAATCTTCTTTTTTTTTCTTTCCCTTCTGCTTCTCCCCAAAGCCCCCCAGTACATTGTTGTGTATTCTAGCTGTAGGTCCTTCTGGCTGATGCTCTGTGGGACACCACCTCAGCATGGCCTAATGAGCGGTGCCGTGTCCACACCCGGGATCCGAACCTGTGAAACCCTGGGCTGCCGAAGTAGAGTGCGCGAACTTAACCACTTGGCCATGGGGCTGGCCCCTTCACCTTCTTCTTTTTTTTTTTAATTTTTTTTTTAAGTTTATTTCATTTTATCACTTTTTTTTTTTTTTAGGAAGATTATCCCTGAGCTAACATCTGTTCTGAGCTAACATCTGCTGCCAATCCTCTTCTTGCTGAGGAAGCCTGGCCAGCCCTGAGCTAACATCTGTGCCCATCTTCCTCCACTTTATATGTGGGATGCCCGCCACAGCATGGCTTGATAAGCAGTGCGTAGGTCTGCACCTGGGATTCAAACCCACAAACCCCAGGCTGCGTAAGTGGAAGGTGGGAACTTAACTGCTGTGCCACCAGGCTGGCGTTTCCACCGTCTGATAAAGGCATTATTGAGCTGGATATGGTCCAGGGAAGGCACGGAGAATGAACAAGAGGTTTATTGGTGAATGGAGGGATGTGTAAATAAGAACCGTCCATGTAAGGGCCTGGCCCGGTTGCATAGTGGTCAAGTTTATGTGCTCCACTTCAGTGGCCCCAGGTTTGCAGGTTCGGATCCTGGGCGCAGACCTAACACCCTTGTCAGGCCACGGTGTGGTGGCATTCCACATGAGATAGAGGAAGCTTGGCACAGATATTAGCTCAGCTCAGGGACAATCTTGCTCAAGCAGAAAGAGGAGGATTTGCAACAGATGTTAGCTCAGGGCCAATGTTCCTCACAGACACACACAAAAAGAATCGTCTGCATAAGAAATACAGAAATCTGAAGGTGTAAATAGCAACACATGAATAGAAGGTGAATGTAGATGTTTTTCCCTATGTGTCCCAATACCAGAACTAGATAATAATAGAAAGTTTGGAATTTATAATTTAAAATTAAAGAACCAGCAGTACTGCTATAGACTGTGATGAGTTCAAGGAATTCATTGCCACACAAGAGGTCCAGGCTAATACTCCAAATGGATTAAGGAAGATTTAAAAAAATTATAGGTCTGTGGAGGACAGGTAGCAGCTCTGACAAAATATTCTTGACAAAATAGAGGGGCCGGCCTGGTGGCGCAGCGGTTAAGTTCACATGTTCTGCTTCAGCAGCCTGGGGTTCACCGGTTCGGATCCCGGGTGCAGACATGGCACCGCTCAGAGGGCCATGCTGTGGCAGGCGTCCCACATATAAAGTTGAGGAAGATGGGCACGGATGTTAGCTCAGGGCCAGTCTTCCTCAGCAAAAAGAGGAGGATTGGCAGCAGATGTTAGCTCAGGGCTAATCTTCCTCAAAAAAATAGAATGCAGGAGTGGAAAGAGCTAGTGAGCATTTGGCTACTTTATATTAGGTTCAGTCCAAAATTTACATCGCAAAGTACTGAAATGACTTGTAAATGTGATCACAGAACCACTGTCAATGACATTTGAGGAATCCTGGAGAATGGGGACGATGTCAGAAGTCTGGAGAAAGCCTACTAACTCCTACTCATCCTTCAAGTCTTGGCTTAATTATCACTTTCAGTTAAGCTTTTACCAAACCTCCAGTCTGGGTAAAGTCTCCTTGTTATATATACTCTCATAATGGGGTATTTTGCCTCTATAATGCTTATCATAGTTGTAACTAATTACTTATATAGTCATTTATTGAATCTTTTGTTCTCTTGATTGTAAGCTCCTCATGGGCAGGATTGTGCCCCTTTTGCTCACCATTGTGTTCCCAATTCCTAGCATAGAGTCTGGCATATAGTAGGCACTCAGTAAAATCAGTGAGTATGTTAATTTTCAGAATGTTGGGTGCTAGAAATGATATTCCATGAACCTAACGTCTGTTCCCTGAAGCATTATAGAGCAGGTTGGTGAAAATGTGAACTGTGATCATTTTCAAAGGAAGCAGGAATGAGCAAACATTCATTCATTTTTATTTGGTGCCCAGCATTTTTAGCTTTGAAGGTCTTGCCCCTTCTGCCTTGCTGTTTCCTTGCACATTTCATTGGTATAATATTTCTGTTTTTGAGCTAGTAGTCACATTCATCTTCTTCAACATTATAGAATTTCTCTAGCCTGAGGATTCTTTCCTTGCTAGGAACAGTCTTACTAAGACAAGATGATGAAGTTGACATTACGATCTGTAGTTCTATAAACCTTGACCGAAAGTTCATCACCTTGACCTTTCCTTGTTCATCTTCTTTTCCTTCTGTAGCGTTGCATTCTTTCCTTTACATATCGGGGACCATGTCTTTATCGAGGAAGATTGTGTGGTCAACGCAGCTCAGATTGGCTCTTACGTTCACGTTGGCAAGAACTGTGTGATTGTGAGTATGGTTACTTGGCTGGCTGAGCCACCTCGCTTCCCTCCAGCTCCTGTCCCTCACATCAGTGGGCCTCTGCTACTGTGACTAAGCACTGTAGACATAGTGTCTCATCTACTGGTCTACTGAAACTGTTATTGGATTTGGAGTTTTTTTCTAGGCATTAATAATCATGATTAACCTTTATTCAGCCTCTTCCATATGATGTTAAACTCTTTTCTTTGATTATTTCATTTAATCCTCACAACCATCCAGCGGTAGTGGGTACCATTATTACCCCTATTTGCAGATGAGAAGACTAAAGACCTTAGATATTAGGGCGTTTGACAAGGCTAGTAAGTGGTAGAGCTGGGATTTGAACCCAAGCAGTATGAATAGCCATGGTGCCATATGGCCTACCTATTGCTTTACTCAAGGATCTTACAGAATAGTGGGATGAGAGGATCTGAAGGGTGAGTTGAAATTGGCTTATAGACAAGGGGAGGATGGGCATTTCGGGAAAGAGATGGGCATGTGCAAGGGTCAGAGTCACCAAAGGGCATGATGTTAGGGAAACTACAGGTAGTTCAGGATGATGGGCATGCAGGGTGCAAGCGGGCCCCTTGCTCAGCAGAACCTGTAAGACCCTGGTCTGCAGGAGCCTAGGCATCAGTTTGTTCAATCCGATCAAGGCTCTGCAGGGTTGGATTTCTTGGTATTTCATAGATGAAGAGCTTGATTTCACTTAGGATTCATGAGAACATCCTGGGTGAGAATGTTAATGATTAGAGCTGAACTGCCTAAATGTTTAGGGAGAATGTTTCCTGCATTTTAAATTTATACCTCAGACTAGATTTTAGGAAAGCCAAGACTTTTTTCATGTTTTTACATGGCTGATCCCATTAATACAGAGCCAGCTCTCTGCTCTGCATAAGACTCAGACCCTAAAGTATCAAAACCTTGCAGAAACCATGCAGTCACCTTCCAGAAGTCATGAGGGCACAGCAAGGATGGATGGTGCAATGGAGAACCACACTGCTGCAAAAAACATTCCAATCTGACTTGTTACTCAGAATTAAGGGAAGTAGTTCTTTTGCCAAATATTCTCATCCGGAGGAATTCCTTGTTATGTATTAGACAGAAAGTCTTTGGTTCAGCCTGATGTTGGAGGAAGGGAGAAGATAGTGAAATCCATCCTCTCCTCTCACTGACTGTTTGGCAAAAGCTGGCTTTGCAGTCACAGCTGTGTGGTTCTGCTATTTTCCTCAGCAAAGTGAAGACATCACCATGGTGCTTTAGCCCTGTTCTGTATCCTCCAGGCAAAATGTCTGAAGGGTTAAAATCCAAATGCTCTTCCCAATGCTTAGGGAAGTTCAGTCCTATTCTTAGGTCCTCTGCTTTTTGTACTGCTTTTCAATACATCAGTTCATTGTTCAGTATCGGCAGGACTTATTTGCTGAGCCTTACAAATTCTCAAGTAATCTCTCAGGAGAAAGATCCTTTTAGAAGTCTAGAATCTCAATGCTAGCAGGAACTCTTTTAGAGTTTAGCTGTCCCCATCAAGTCCAGATCCTTCCTATAGCAGCATCCCATGTTATAGTCTAACTTCTCTTTGGATATGTGAAGGTGTGGGTGTTGATCAGAATTGCCCGAATGCTGGCAGGAAACGCCTAACAGGCAATACTAATAGGCACTGTTATTGTCTGTGAGTTTTACATTTATTATTTCCAATCCTGACAGTGTCCCTGCAGGTTTGGTTTTACATCCTATTTCACAGATGAGGAAACCAAGGCTCAGAGATGCTAAATAACTTGCCTAAGGAGATATAGGTAGCTGTCATACTAGCAACATGTAGTTCTTGACTCCTCCTTGGGAAAGTGTTCAGGAAAGAATAAAGAATTAGTTTCAGCTTTTAACCTCCTCAGCTATTGCCAATGCATTCATGCCTGAGAAGTACCTGCATTTTTAATTTTGCTGCTATTTAATTGATTGGTTTGCCCAGAATGCTTGAAAACCCAATTAAGCATCATTTCCCTGAGTAGGCAGAATGGCCAACTAGTGGACAAAGCAGGTGAAAACAGGCTGTGTGGTGGCTAGTGGTGCACAGTGAAAAGATTCACCTCCACTCTTCTTTTCCAGGGCCTTTGTCTGTGGATCCCTGTATGTGAAGGGATCATGCCTCATGCAGCACATTCTCCTTCCTTTTACTCAGTGCCCTGTGCATAGTCTGAGTTATTAGGAGTTTAGGTGTCATAGTTCATCTTTGAGTTAATTTGGGAGTCACCAGGGAACTGGCCAGCTGCCGTATTTTTGAAATTGCCGATAGCAGATAATTGGTGGAAGACAACTTTCCAAGGAGGAATGAAGAGCTGCAGGCATAACTTGTTTCTGAGCAAAAAGTGTTGCCAAGTGTTGCCAGAGCTATTATCCACCCAGCTGGAGGAAGCTTAATAGCCGCTTAAGAAATTCAGACCTTAGAGATATAAGCTTTTTAAAAAAATTCCTTTGGCAATCTACCTGGAAATACATGTGATTTGGGTTTTGAAGAGTGAGGAAAATTTGAACACAACCAAATCAAAGTATGTTTCATAGTCTTTGGTAAAATCTGAGATCTGGATGGATTAGCATTGTCCTGGTATTTGTTAGGAGTTCCACATTCCCGGACAGGTATATTTTCTCAGATCATCTGACTGGAACACAAGTGACCTTACAGGCCCTGGTGATGTAAACACAGTCAACGAAGACCACAACTTTCATTTATTCAGCAAATAATCTGAGGCACAACGTTAAGCTTTATACAGAAGCCTCTCCTTTCCCTTAACCCATGAAACAAGTGACTCTCCCAGACCTTATTTCTTGCTCTCAAAATGCCGTGGGTGATAGCAGTGTTGAAAACTGATGGCAGTGGATAAAGTCAAGCATAAGATTCAGCCTAAACCTTCAAGGAACTACCACTCACCTGTGGGAGAAGAAATGACCCAATAACTTCATGTCCAAATGCGTTTGTCAGGACTTATCCAGTTGGAGTTGACAAAGGAACAAACAAACCATAAACTCGTAGATGTAAAATGGAACGTATTGGCTGACATAAACCAAGAGGACAGAAGTACATCCTAATTTCATGCACAAATGGCTCCAGGAGTTCAAGTGATGTCATGAGAATTAGTCTCCATCCCTTTTTGTTTTCCCCTGGGAGGTTCTCAAGGCAGGTTCTTCCCTCATGGAAACAAGGTGGTTTTTCAGGCTTCTGTCTTATCTTCTAAAAACTTCATTGGAAAGAGCTTCTTTTCCAAGTAGTCCCAGCAGAAGCCCTAATGTTGAGATTCATCAGACCAGTTTGGCTCATATGCTGACTCTAAAGCACTGTGGCCAGGCTTGGAGTTTGGGGTTTGGGATGGGAGGTGAAGCACATGGACTAAGATACAGTACAGGTGGTTCCCAAGGAAAATATAGGCTCCATTTCCAGAAGAAAGGGTAATGGATGTTGGACAAGCAGAACAACAGATGTCCACAAAATTACAAAAATAAAATAAAATTAAGTAGAACTCTTGGAAGACCAAATTTCACATAGTCTGTAATGTCTAAGATAACCTGAACTGTCCCCGGCATACAAGCCCCTCCCCAAATGTGCACACGCACACATGCACATTGACATCCCTGTCTCCTGCTCCTCCTTGTCAGGTACCACCTGAAGTAGGGAATTGCAGCCACACCTCTTATCACTGTCCCTTGCTATTATATAATATCACAAATGGAGAAGATATAAAATAGCCTTCCACACAGCACACTAGACAACTTTTACTCCCATTTCCTGGTCTATTTCCTATTAACAAGATTTTCATTTCAGGGGCGTCGATGTGTGTTGAAAGACTGCTGCAAAATTCTTGACAATACGGTATTACCCCCAGAAACTGTGGTCCCACCATTCACCGTCTTCTCAGGCTGCCCAGGTAACTTTGGGTGTTGATTATTAAAACTCAAGTTTATTTTCCATCACAAAAATAACGTATGCAATTTCTGTCTCTGACAATATGTGGTTCTAGCTAACTTAAAAATTCTCCTGCTATAAAGTACCTAGAAATGCTATCTAAAATATAGCAAGTATCTTTTTAAATGCATAATTTGGTTCACAAGGAAATTATTGAGGATCAGAAGCAAAGAGGAAACTAAACCCACACTATAAGCATACTTAGGTTGATGCGTTTTCATAATAGAGTGGTTTAGGATTTGATCCTTGTGTGGCGATGAGAGGTAAAGCCTTGCCTCCACACATGGCAGAGAGAGCCTGTTGAAGGGTCATCCTTCAATAAAAAGTTGCTGTAGAACAAATCTGCCACCAGCACAGGAAAAGTACAAAGAAGCGTGTCTCTCTAGGCCTTGGCTCTGGATGGAAAAAGAAAAAGTCTCTCCAGAGAATTCTAACTATGGCCTTACCCTCACATTGGTTGGGAGTTTGAACTTGTACTTCCCACACTGTCCAGGAATGCCCAAACTGAAAAGTTAACATGAAACATGGTCTAAGACCACTGTTAGCTTTGGGACACCAGAGGGAAGCAAATACATCACCTCTTGACCTTGGCTGACGGAATGCCCACAGGTAAAGCCCCTCCTGAGCTCAGAGCTCCAAATTGTAAAACATGTGAGCCAACAGAGGAAATATGTGTTCATCTTAGGAAGCTTGGGAAATGCTGAAAAGCAGAAGGGAGATGAGAACTTCACAGTCCCCCTCACCCCAAGACAGTTTCTCTCTTCTGCGTACTGTTTTACACAGTGGAAGTCATGTAGCATCTACAGAGGCACATCACAGATTCACAGATGGAAGATGATATGAAGAGGGAGATTTGACAATAGATGATATCTACCACAGGTGGTTTAATTGTTTTTCCATTTTAAAAAAAAAGTCTCATTACTCAGATCATTGAATATGAGTTTCAAAGATGTCCAGATCATCCACTCAGATTCTTTGGGAGAAATTGGCCATTCTGCTGTTTCGTGCATCTCTGCTTTTGCCAAAGAGGAAGAAAGGACTTCCGTTTAGTTATTCTCCCCATCTTGGGTTCCCACTGTGAGAAAGTTTCATTGTTCTTAGCAAGTGCTAGAGCAGAACGGCCCCAGCAGTTGTTGTAAATGATTGTCACACAAGCATCTGGCCTGAGATGAGAAGGCTATTGCCAGGGAAGTATTTTAATCTCTTTCACCTTCTTCAAGGTCCTTAGAACCAACTAGTTATGGTTGTTGAGCACTGGTGGCAGAAGGCAGGGAAGCACTGCTTGGTATTTGAAATCCAAATAAACACTATGTTTAGAGGTTCTGATGGAGGATTCAAACTGCTGCACCTTAGAGATTGTTGTATAAATGAGGAAACTGAGGGCAAGAGAGGTGGGTTGTCCAAGGTGTCAGAGCTGGTTAGTGGGAAAGCCTTGACTAGCACTGAAGACCCCTAATTTAGAGACTAGTTCTTTTTACACTGTGGTAAGATACTTTCCATGTTTATTTTATATAGTTTCACCAACAAAGGCTAACCATCTAAATATTGCTAATGGCAATCTCCATCTTGAATAAAGAGACATGGGGTTGCAGGAAAACTGGCACATTTTTGAAGGGCTCCACTGCATGAAACTGAGTCGTGAAACAAGATGAAAGGCAAACTACTCAGAAAGGATCGGGGTCAGGAATCAAAAACTCAGGTGACTGTAGGAGCCAGGCAGATCAGTAAATGATAGCAATGATAGCCTGTCATAGCTGATAAGAATACAGGCCTAATATTATGAGATCTTCTGATGTTTCATGAGGAGCTAAAAATCTGAATTTTTATGTACTATCTCTGAATTTTTAAATGTTGGCTACTAATTTTTAAAAAGATTAAATACTGTATAGACCAAACATATGTTTGCAAATCTAACATGGGCTGCTAATTTGTAAAAGGTGCCTATGGGAATTTTGTATTTTTTTAGACCATTTTTTCTATCCTACCTGTTATTTTCTCTCTCTATATATACAAGTGCATGTGTGTTTTTGTACGTATATGAGTGTAAAGGTATGTGTGTGTATGTATGTATACACATTTGTGTATTTAATATGGATATATGAAACTGTTTATAGTATATAAACAGAATCACACTATTCTGTTTGGAAATTTGCTTTCTTAACGTATATCTTGGGCATGTTTTGTTGTCTGTATCTGGAAACTCACCTCTTTCCTTTTAATGGTTATGTGTTTTTCATTGCCTAAATGTATCATAATATAACTAATCAATCCCGTAGTATAATAGATCATTAGAAGTTGTACCTGGTTTTTCACGATTAGAAACTTTGCTGCAGTAACAGTGTATGAGAGTGCCTCTTTCCCAGAAATTCTTAAGTATGATCGCCCCATCTTTAGTCTTTCTGTAGGACATTTGGGGTCTACTGCCATCCTTGATTTGTCTGTATCTAGCATGTTTGAGCATTGGATTCAGTTTCACTGTATGAATATCAGGGAAGTTTCTCAGCTCAAGAGCACTCACTTTGCCTTGCCCAATAGGTGTCACACCAGAATCAGGATGGACAAACCTTGTTGAGAACAACCTCTTGTAGTCAGAGATGCCTGAACTCTTCAGATTATGCAATAATGTGCTAACCTCTTTCACCTGGAATATACTTCTCCATTTTGGGACCAGTATTATTTGTTTCCCTCACACACATAAATTCAAAACATCTGGAAGAGATCATCAGTAGAAATATTCTCTTAGAACCAAAGATGGAAAACCTAACATTTAGACTCTCATGACTAAAGAAAAGAGCCCTCTAGGAATTTAAACAGAAATCAGAGCTCCAGGCCTCCCCTGGCTCCTGTGGTTGACAAGGTCTTTCTTTTCCCAGGACTCTTCTCAGGGGAGCTCCCAGAATGTACCCAGGAGCTGATGATTGACGTCACTAAGAGCTACTACCAGAAGTTTTTGCCCTTGACCCAGGTCTAACGTCTCTGCCTCATGTGTTGAATTTGCTTGAGCTCAAAGATGAACTTGGGGACAAAGGGAGCCTGTCAGCATCTACAAAGAGCTCTTGTGTCTTTGATACCTTCCATCCTTCCGTTTTTGTTGTTGTTAGTTTTTTTGTTTAATTCTTTAGAATTTCTCAATCCTTCCAGGCTTGAAGCTCTTACAACTTTAATAACAGAGCGTCTGGAGGAGTTGTCTCCAGATGCTGTGCTTAAACCTTATCTATTAGCAGTCACTTCATACCATTATCTGTGGAACACAGAATCATCTGTTCCCAACACTCCCACCCCTTGGTCCTGAAACAGGCCTGCAGAACAGAGCTCTCTGTCCCAGCGTGGAGGGTGTCAAGCCAGTGTGCTGCTCATGGCCATGAGCTCCCCAGTGTGAACACCACTCATACGGAGTACTCTCAGCTTTCCTGCTGCTAACGCATTTGGCCGGTTGCTCATAATCTTGGGAAAAAAGTATTCACAACCTTTCAGAGCTCAGATTCCTGTTGGCCACTAAAACTTGAAGTGAGGGGTGGTTAGTATTTTTCTTCTTCCGAAAATGACCTTAACTGTCATTTTAACCCAGGGTGACTAATAAAGGACTTTCTAGCATTCTGTTCTAGGGCCTTTGGCTTTCACTGAAAGGGGGGCCCTCAGCACCCAGATTTTATTTTGGCCAAGGCCCAGGTTTGAGTCTCCCATGTGGTAGACTAGTCTGGCAGCCACTCCTTGCCTTGGTAATTTGGGGGCAGCAGTATATGCCTTATTTCATTGAAGATGTAGGATTTATAACACTTTAGCCCACCCTTTATGTGCAGTAAACCTCACAGTTCAGACCAGAATATCTGTACTCGGGCCCAGTCATCTATCTATACGAGGGCCTCTTAAAATCCTTCTGTGGGCGCAGAGCCCCGAGGAGTGAATGAAGTTGCCAGTGCTCTTCTTACCATCTCCCTCTCGATAATAGCACAACCCTACCTGGTTCTGCCCTGCCCTCTTGGTTTAGAAGGAAGATTTAGAAGTGAAGGCCTGAGAGATTGGCCTTGTGTAATACTCTGACTCTGCTGTGAATAGGGTGGGACAATTCAGTCTTGAAGGTTGGGATCTAGCAGGAGCCGTCTTGACTTAATATCTGCTTGTGGGGTTTGCAAGACCAGCTATGTATAATTATCTCCACTAGTTCAATGTAAAACTGCTTTCTGGTTTGTCGTTTTTTTATGTTTGTACATTAAAAGATTGACACATGCAACAAGCCATTCAAGGTGATCACTCCCCACCTCGAGCGATGGCTACCTGTGTTCCTCGGGCACTTACTTCACTGTGTGCCTGCTGCCCTTCTGCGGGCTTGACATTCACCAGCCTGCTTATGGCTCACACCAGCCCTAAGGTGGATGTTATTCCCATTTTACAGATGAGAAATAAACTCAAAGATATTAGAGAACTTGGTCCACTCCATACAGTGAAGAAGTGGTTGGCCCAGGAGTCATACCCATGTCTGTCTGGCTCCACAGCCCATGCTCTCCATCTCTGCCCTGAGATGGATCACATCTGCCATGCGTCCTCTCTGATACCAGCAGTCTGTGATGGTTGCAGGGTTCGGGTTTTTTTGTCATATGCTGGCGTCTCCCCCAGCTCCCTTCCCTTCTTGTGCCACCAAAAAGGTGACTCTGGAATTGGCAAAGCTAGATGCTCTCTAGGCTAACCTCTTTCTCACTAGAGAAATCTTCTGGGGCATGTCTAACAGGTTACCATTGGCCTATGTTTGAATACTTCCAAAAGGAAGCTTGCCACTTTATGGACTAACTGTCCGGTTTTTTTTTTTTGAGGAAGATTAGCCCTGAGCTAACATCTGCTGCCAATCCTCCTCTTTTTGCTGAGGAAGACTGGCCCTGAGCTAACATCCGTGCCCATCTTCCTCTATTCTGTATGTGGGACACCTACCACAGCATGGCTTGCCAAGCGGTGCCATGTCCACACCCG